TCTGTGCCAAGTAAAATGATAACGAATATATGCATACGGATTGGAATTCATATTTCCAAAATAATATTCATCACAAGGATGATGGTCGAGAGTACATAGCGTGCAATGATCACGTATTTGTATTGCTCAGTAGAGACGAGAAACAAGTGAAGAGTGGCGAGTAAAGTAAAAAAAATATGAATGAAAACAATAATAAAAATTGGAGTTGTTTGCTTTATCTTTAATGCTCATTGCTCATGTTTTATCTTGCACTTTTTTCTATATCTCTTTCATTTTGTGAGGGTGTGTGCGCTTGGATGAAAACAATACAGAAAAAAGCCAAGCTGTTGACATCATTTGTTTCACTTACTTTGAAGAAGAAACGAAAAAGTTACGAACAAATGACGGTCGTCTATTACATTTTTCCTTCTTCTTCTTCTTTCTCGCTGTTATATCCTCAATAGAACACATTTTGTGCGGCTTTAGCGCCAAACTTGCTTCGGATATAAAGAGAACTGTAATCGTAAATCAAAAGAAGCGCACAATCCAAACAAAACTTCGGTATATTTTTTTTATTCTTTCTCGTGTATCATGTTTCCTTTTACATGCAGCGATTTTGATGAAAATGTTATTTGACATAAAGAGGACAAAAGAGAGGTACGGAAACTCATTATGAAATTTGCATATATGGAAGTTTGCGCATTTTTCGACAATAGAAAAGAATGGCTGATACACCAGGGCATTTCTATTCAATCATCGCAATTTTGTTTATCGATTGATTATATTAATCGCTAAAAGCGATACAAAAACACACACACACACGCAAAGTGTGTGTGAAAAGCACAGTTTCATTATGTTCATTGTGTATTGTTGCCTTTGATGTTCGTTATGGAACCGAATGGAAGGAGATAAAATGACACAAGCTAAATGACAGACATCGTGTGTTTGTGTATGAAAACTAGAGAATCAAGTATAGAATGTAATACTGTGTGTCGTAGAACTTCGGTTTTTTTTTTGAAATTTTCGTACGAGCTAAATATAATCTAAAAATTAATGCCAACTTATAACTTATATAATACACACATTGTCATCACAAAGCGGATTTTCTCTCTGTATAAACAAACATAAATTGAGAGGACAACAAGTTCGACCGCATCTTTATTACGACTCTATTCGCATATATGAAGGAAGAAGAAGTAGACAACAACAAAAAAATTCAACAACAAACAAAACTTTGAATCTTTTTCCTTTATTATTACTGTAGTTCTCTGTTTTCATTACATGTTTCGATCATGTCCCTTGTTTGCTCCTCAACATACTGTGAACGTCCAAACGGTTGTCAAATCACCAGTTCAAAAATAGATGAAGAACGAAAAAAATCGACTACCAACAGCATGAGTCACATGCTTGTTTTTCATTTAGTTTGCCATTTTTCGAATATTTACAAAAGATGCAGATTAGTGAGTGACTGTTTAGCATATACACACACCCACCCATATATTCATCGGTCGGCGTGAACCATACGAGAATTGGTTATTCTGGCTTTTATGTTATGCTATTCGCTCGCATAATCTCGTATATCACTTTTTTTCGGGAATCTGAGACTCGAGTCTAGAGTCTAGAGAACTGTCTTTCTTCAGTATATTTAGAGCCTTGAACTAGATATATATTTACGTTTCATCAAAACTGACATGTTTTGTTGCGTTATTTTTTTTATGGTTATGTTTTCTATAAAACATCATTCGATTCAAGCGGCGAATGAGCAAAAAAAAACTGTTTTGATAGAAGTCCGGGTGTATGGTGAACACACACAGCGAAGAAGAGAAATATGGATTGGCGTACAAAGAATATAAATACCAGATGTATTTACAACAAACAGAGACGATGTGGGATGATGAAGAGCATAAAGGATGGAGGGATGAGGGATAAAAGATGACAATAACGCAATATGGTTTTTGTGTGTTGTTATTATTTATTACAAAAAAAAAAACAAGTCAGATTTATATGCATCAAACTTAAACAAGGCACACCATAGAAACCAACTATAATAAAAAAAGTCGTGCACAGGTAGTTAGCCAGTGTCAGCATTGAAGTCATCGTGTTTACTCATTAATAGAGAGGCTTTGGTGAGCTTTGCTGCGGTGAATGTATCATTGTAACATATTCGTATTTGAAATAGGAAGTTTAAATAAAAAATACGGTGATAACAAAAGGCGAAACGAAAACGCTTTATAACAAATAACAATACCACCGAAAGCGGATAGAATAGTCAAAGTAAAATCAATAGCGTTATCATTCCACTATGTTTAACGAATATAAATACAGATCAGATTGATTGTTCATATATTATATAGAGACATGTTTGTTTTTGTATTTGCCTTGCTTCAAACAGTGGAACAATGTATTATTTTACGTGTACGAGAGTGGGGGATCATGTGGCGATAGTCATATTTTCGATTTCCATTTGACTTTTATGCCTTTTATGGATACGGAAAATGTGGCAACCGGGGCTCAAATAAAAGCTTACAACCATATATATATACATTTAGATTGATAAAATAATGACAATATCAAAACAAAAGGCAATCATTCAATATATTCACAACATACTGACATGTTGAAGCAACGCATCCTGTGCGTAGTACGCTATCAAGATTTCCAACACCGAAATTCGTTCCGAGAAACATCAAGATACGGAGAGTGTGAGAGATTTTCATACGCAACATACAATGTTCAAGTCAATTGACAATTTATATCTAATATCTCATGATTCGAAAACAAAAACAGAACTCTGCATGATGATAGAGATGCGCAGCATGTAACTGTGAACAGAGATCGAGAGTGAAAAATCAATGAATGGTAAACTGTGTTTAGTGTTGACCATGGGTATTCCTTCAATTGTATTATGTTCGTTTACATTCAAACTACAAATCGAACTGTGAATTTCATTTCGATTTGATACAATGTGATTCGTTTCATTATTAATTTGAAACCAAGTGACTATGAAATGCAAAGATAACCAATATATCTCTATGTCGATAGATACCGATGTGATAAAATGCACCACCATAAAAACAGCCTCCAATATCAATTGAACCATTCACTCACTGTTTTTCATACACGATAATATTTGCTTGTGTGTTTTTGTTATTCTTATTCTCATTCTTATTATTACTGTTATTGTATTATATTATTATTATCGGCACGAAGCTAGCACACACAAATATTGTAATCGATTTCTGTTCGTAACGTAGATAAAAGTGATTGTGATTGAATAAAAAATATGGTGAATTTCGATACATACCTGAATTTATGTGAATGCCAATTGTTTTTTTTTCGTTTGCCATGGAAATCGGTTTATGGTTTTTGTGCAGTGCGTTCGCACGTATTGACGTTTTTTTTAGATGCTTTGTTCGATTGATCGTTCACGAATATTGCCCTTAACACTTTTTAGCCCCCGTAATCTGTTCACCATTTAACCTTTTCTCCCATGAATACCATGAATGAATAAAATGTCGAAGACTATTGCACATTGTAATTTTCCAAACGGATTATTTAACATTAGAAGATGAGTCGCTTGCACACACAAAATGACGCATACACATTGAAACAGATACTGAGAATCCGTTGGCTCAGTTCGGGGCTGAGGTTGATCAATTCATATCGACTTCATACACGAAATAAACAATAACGGTCACGCGTACACATAGACAAAATTAAATAAATCCATAACTATACGTTGTCGTCTCGACGATTGTGTACTATTGCGTGCGTGACGTTGGATTGGAAAACGATGGCCCAATTCAATGCATAGCATAGACACAACGCAAACCTTTTTTTTTTGCTGGCGATAATAATTCTGGTTTTGTGTACGACGTACACAGCATTCAATTCTTCGATTCATGCATGATGTTGTTCGTCCATCGCCTGTATTCACCATGCTTATTTATACGCATACAACATATTCAATTCGAATATATGGACCATTGTTCATTTTGCCCTGTATAAATAGTATAAATTCCGAATTGAAGCGATCTATATGCTTTCAATAACGTACGATTTTGCTCTTCCATTGTTGTTATATTTGTGTATATGTTTTCTATTCATTGTACACATCTTTCACCGGTCCCTTTTATTTACTGTCTTCATTCAACGAGATGAGTTGAGCTTTGTTCTTGGCTAAGTTTTCACTAAGAAAACATACCTTTTCACTCAATGCATGTATGTATGTGCACCATTTTGGGATGAATTTAATAAAGAGAATAAAAAATATGATGTAGTAAAGACATAATAATAATAATAATCCATATTTGATAACTGATAATAGTTAATGTCTCTTCGCTTATTGCTTTCTTTTCATGAGTTTTATGGATTTGAGAGATCTTTATTCTGCTCACGACCAATGTCAATGCTTTTATCTCAAGCGGGCGGGCGCACATACACTGTGAATTAATAGCATACAATTTCAATTCATCATTTAAAGATATGACCGACACATACACACTCACTCTTCTAGACGAAGATGGTGTGAGATCAGCGAATGAGGGAAGGGTATGATTGAAGTACAGAAACTGTATACGCTCAATATCACATTTCAACCATTAATGCAATGGCATACGTTGAAAATTGGAAAGCTTTCAATACGATAAGCGACTCATCAATAATCTATTCATTAATTTTAATGTAAATATTTGCATTTGATGGAAGACATATGATTATTATGTTCCATTAAAATTCTATCATTTGTTTGCATGAGCAATGTGATTGACGACAATGGTGGCGACAGTTGAACTAGTTCATTTAACCATATGACACAATAGTACACTGATTTTCACAGCCAAAAAAAAGTGCCAGACATTTTATTGCCCGTGGTTTGAAATCGCTATAATCGCATTGGATGGCATTTCAAAAGTAGCACATTTTTGCTATTACACTTTGTATTCTTAACAAATCATATTATACAATTTTCAAACATCGATGATATTAAATTGTCTTATCTTAATATTTTTGTTTGCTTTCAGATTTGCTTGGAGAGTAGCCAATGCTTTCTCAGTGATATAAATTTCATTGAGTGAATTCCCAGGTATGTACAAGCTCTAGTAATTGAATTGAATGGAACTGAACTTAACTGAAGAAGTGAGAGAAAAAACAAACATTATCAGAAAACTACCAACAAACCATTCACATTACCTGCGATTAGTTCTGGTATCGGTTCTTTTCCGCTTTCATAATTACTTACAATATTGCGCACATTTGTGTGTGTGTGCAATGTAACTTCGAAAGTTGTTGCATCAACTTTATGGATTGCATCCAAAAGTATCAACGTGCTTCTTCAATAATCTGTAGTTTCCATCGTTTGGTGATTTACATTTCCAAACGTTATACATTGTTATTGGAGAATGTTTTATAGTATCTTAGTTGGAAGACAAGAGCAAAAAAGGGTATTCAATATTTTGAACACGTGGAGGAGCACGCACACACACACATGCATTGTGTTGGAATTTGTGGCAAGAGATTACAAGTTAATGAATTTCATTTTACCTTCCTTTGGTCCAATAAATTTTGCTCATCCATGGGGATTTTCATTCATTTCCGCACATGATATATCCGTATGCTACCATCCGTACAGATAATATTCGAAAGATGTGTGCAGTTTGTAAATGCTATAAAATATGCTTTAAATGAGCATTACGACAAAATTCATATTTTTAACACACACCAGAGCTACGATATTCATACACTTTCAGAACATTGATTTATTGATGTATGAATTTTCTTCTTTCTCTCTTCTCCCCCGCTATGCCTCATCGTCATCTCAATTTATCTACCAGCAATTGCGAACACCAATTTATAACCAATAAAATCATTGACAATAAAAAAGCAATTTCCATCGAAAACTTTGTCCAAACAACCTCGAAGTTCGTGCGCAAAACAAACTTCTGCCACACCAGTCAGGCAGGAGTCAGTAAATTCGTATACGATTCAATATTGTATATAAAATGCATGAGCACGATAAATCTTGCCATCATTCATGAGAAAAAGTGAAAATGCGAGCGGCAAAAAATTAAAACAACAAACAAAAAAAAACTGAAAAGTGCGTTGATTAACAATGAAATCGGATACTGTGTTTATTGACTTAAGGGAATTGGTATTCTCTGATCTATTTGTAGTGAAACAGAGATGATTTGCGCAACTTGAAACGGTTCGTTTGTAAAATATGAGCAAATATCGATATGGGGTGCTTAATTCTTCAACCATATTTTGAGAGAATATGCACAAAAATGCGAGAGAATTACTTTACTCGGTGTTTTTTTTTTAACTTTTATGCGAAAGAGAATCCTTGAGGAAGTTCTACAAAAATGCAAAAAAAAAAAACTAGAAATAAAACAAACTTGTAAAGTCGTTTTAGTGGTGTAGAGCTAAAATTAGCCAATTAATTATAATAGTTAAATTTAAATGCTAATTGTCGTTTAAAATAGCATTCACTACATTTTTATTTGGAATTTTTTTTGTACACATAATGAAAAAATATGAAGTGGCAAACGTTAAACGAAGATGCCTTAAAATGGAAAATGAAGAGCCATTTTGGTGTAAAATATTTAAAATGTGTTTACAATGTACTGGATCTTAAGCTCCAGGAAATTGTAAAGCTTATTGTTTCACAACAATTTGGAATTACCCTGAGAAATTACGACAAATCAAATACGAAATGAAAAAAAATACTTTCGCATTAAACGAATTCATTCTAATAAATGAACAAATAGATTAAGATTTAAAATAAAGAATTTACATTTAAATATTCGTGTACCATTGAGGCGGTTATTTGTTCGAGTCTTGTTTCACCTAGGAAATTGGACGTTTTCTTAAAATTATTGTTGCTAACATTATCGACCGTTTTTCCGTTGAAATGTGAAAATGGCATTTCGGCCTTTTGACAAACGATTAAATTAAATTATTGATGTAAATGTACATCCGTTTACTTGTTACGCACAGTAGTCGTGTGAGTGACGTGACAGGTTGATGAATTGTTTTATTATGAGTGCCAAACGGCTGATCACCACCAAACTCAACTCAACGTGACTATTTTTTTATGTGCTCTGGTCATAGTCTGTGCGCGACCGATAATTTATATGCAACATTTGTTATTGAATCATACAGAGAATGCGAAATGTGATGACAAACGAAATCAGTGTTGTTAATAATTTTTGAATTGGTATCATGGCAATTGCGATCGATCAAATTCTATCGTTCATTTTTATTTTTCGCTTGAATTTTCATCATTAAGTCATTAAAATCGGCGAATATGATTCGGCCGATAAATGTATTCAAATTCAAATCAAGGTGTTCGTGGAAGAAAAAAGAACTGGCTTCTTTAATTACTAAACGCATTTTTGATAAGCTGATTTGGCAATCTTCACGCAAATTAAGTCGTCATCGAAAGACGTGAGCAACAAAACTTCGAAAGTATAACAAAACAAATATGCCAAAAATCGACAAAATGATTTAATCATTACGTGCACGGCTTAACACGGACAAAAATATATCAAGTGTGAGAGATGATGACTTTTTCATCGGTAGAAAGTAAATTTAGGTAGAAGAAAAAACAGCGATACGGAAGATTTATTTAAACATCTTTCCATTGTGCACGCATATTGTTCGTCACTGCACGTGTTTGAGCGAATTTACACAAACCCAACATAATACAAAGAATGTCGGTAGCATAAATGTTAAAGAATAATACATTGAAAATATATCAAGTGCGTGTGTGTGCGCGTCCGTTCATTGGATGAACCGCAACTTTTAGCTTATAGAAGGATATTAAATGGGAAGCTTTTTAATGAACTTGAATTTATGCGTGGCTTTTGTATTGTTGGATGTCGTTTAATGAAAATTTATATTCAGTTTGTGTTGTATGATGTAGATCGGCCACAAACACATGCGCGAGGGCCGCACACAGTCCGTCCGCCTGGAGATTCAATGTGATTTAATTTTGATACACAGCAATTTGATTGCTTTAGCCGCACATACACACTTGTTAGCTTGAACGGTTCAATGCGCTCAATGTTATTTTATGCGAAATCATACATGCCAAAAGTTTATATCATTCTCTCTATCTCTCTGTCACTCATTGTATGAGCATTTTACATGAATCTACACCAGTGGCCATAATTTATGCAGGCGACAACAACAAAATTATTATTATATGTTAGTCCAATCAACATGATGATGATGATGATAGTCACCGATACATGCATAAAACCCAAATTTTATACGATTTAAAAGCACTTAACCGTGCAAATGCAAACAGACAATTATTGCGTCTCTCGAAAAATATTCAAAACGAATGATGGCTCAACTTCAAAACACATTAAAGTGACTTTTTGAAAATATGGGCGAAAAAGTTTCGAGGGTATCATCAACCGTCGATGTTACTTGAGACTAGAATAAAAGTCGAAAAACAGACAAAAAACATCAACGGCAAAGTATTCAACACATTATGAACCATTACAAGTGACACATACTTTCATCTTCTTAAAAGCCTCCCTGTTCTCGCTTTCTTTGACTTTCTTTTTTTTTGTTTTACGTTGCTGCCTTTTTTTAATTGACAGAACATTTTTGCCAAAGTTTTTCAAAGCAAACAAAAAATCGCCACTGAATAACGTTGAGTAATAAAAAAATCCATTTTAATGCACTTTGTTGAGCTGCTTTTATTGTTATCGGAAAGTAAAAGTTTTTCTTTATGCATTCCAATTATATGGTATAAAATGGTCGTATCATCGTTAATGCTCTATGAAAATGAATATGATGACTTTTAAAATATTTTAAAGCAAACTTGACGTCAATTTTATCACAATTATTGAGCAAACACAACAAATTGTAAGCATATGCCCAAGGGTATTGCGTTTTGCGCTTCAAAACCGGAATAAAAATGAAAAATTAAAAAGAGTAAAGAGAAGTCGAGAAGAGAGAGTTGGAAAGAGGGAGAGATAAAGAGAGAGTAAGAGAGATTAATACTCGAAAAATTAACATACACATCATCCTGTATCGAAAGAAAATTTGTCTGATTTCATTTCAGCGTATGTGCGACGAAAGATATGAAGCTGTCGGTTTTTTATTTTTCCGGTTTTATGATTAAGCTCAAATGTTGAATATAGCATTTAGGGTAAATATTATCATGTCAAATATGCATAGCCTTCCGTCATATGTACATGAACTCATAAAAATATAAAAATTAAAATTTCTTATCGCCAAAACAGCTCACAAAGCTGTACGTGTACGTTTTTGCGGTTGTATGCAATGGTGAATAAATGGAAAAATAACGACATTCTATTTTGCCGAATATTTGTTGTGCGGCACATCGTGTATGTGTGTGTGGCCATGAATGAATTTTGTGCAGCGGCAAACAAAAGAATAGAAAAACGCAAATATGAGTTACGAGGAGAGAAAAAAAAACACATTGAATAAGAATATGTACCTGAAAAACTGTAAACGATTTCATTGAGGGCACATCAATTGACGAAAAAAAGGTGAACCAAACTGCGCTTGATGTTTCAAGTTGCACAAAAAATCTTTCATTTAATATGTATGACATTCGGAGGGAACGCAAACAAATCAAATGTGAAAATAAATCATTCGTACGTTTTGTGAGCATATCCAAATAGATATATATGTATACGCACTCGGTCGTTTGTTGGCGCGTTCTCGTGGCACGCACGTACACCTGTTTAACATTTTTCAATGAATACACCATGCATCCCGTGTGTCAGAGCCTGCCTTTATTCCGCCATGTCTCTTGATCTCGACCTATTCGAAAGTGTTTTTTTTATTTCAATCACTTGTCATTGTTCATTCGTAACTGGATGAAATCATCTTTTGGTGATACTAATGCTGCCGTATACTTCTCTACCACACAAACGACCAACGTGGCTTTTTTTTCTCAGATTCGTTTTTCACATCAAATATAAATACATGTACAATATTTTTAATTTACATTTGCGCTGGTTGATCTTCTTTCCTGAAATCGTTTCGACTAAAGGTATAATATTTAAAATTTATACCTATCACAGCCAACTATCATAAATATATACATATTTTAAAGTTCTTCTGTCGTAACGATCAATGCTCGTTGTTGCGGACTACATCTCCATAAATAAAACATCAACTATAATTTCCTGTGCACTTTCACGAACTTTTTCATTTCATCTGATTTTACTTTGGCGAAATATTCTCACAATTGCACAATGTCAACGATATAAAAGTCAACTTATTCAAGTTTCTTGTTGAAAGACTTTTGAATTTTCAATGAAAATTATTTATAAAATATAAATAGTTTGCTGCCGAGAACAACCGAACGAACAAACGAGAAAAAAAAACAACGACCGAAAAATGTAATGGTGTGAAATCTTGAAGGCTTCACCCGTTTTTCTAACAATAAATTGCATTCAACCGAAAGGTGGCAGTTGAAAATATCCGAAGTTCCAACCACACTCAGCTATCGACAAGAGTCTCGTTCACTGATTTTATTATTGCCGGTGTACGGATTTTCAGCCAATTTGACACATAAGTGTTTCGAGAACTCAATACAAAATTCAATATTCTATGCCAAACTTCATCATTTAATCAATAGTTTTCGATTGGTTCGACAGGCTTGAATGAGTTTTTTTTTTATTTAATATTGCATCGATGACGATAACTAGTATCGACATCGTGGTATACTTTGTTGTTAGCGAATGAACGTGCATAACAATATATGGAAACCACAGAAATTTCATCAAGAGCATAGAGTCAATCAAATGGTCCGGAAGATCTGTGGTGCTACAGTATAAAAAAAGGTGAAGCGAACAAAAAAAATTGAATTCGGTTTGTGTTGTTAAGCAATCCACACACGGTTACCGCAGGATTTGTACGAAAAGAAAGAGAGAGAGAGAGAAAACACGTACGCGTGACCTCGAATAACCACACATCATATTCCACAATAGTAATGCATTAATTATCAGGCGAACGGTTGCATTTATTTCAACAAAGCGAAAAATTTTCGCTTATTATGAAGATATATCCCGTGCGAATTTGTTCATTTGTTGCACATTTCTTTTTTTTTTGTATGCGTATTTTTAATTTCTGAGCCTGGTTTTGCTGGTAGCAGTTTTTGTTGTGCGTGATTATTAATTGGTTTTTGGTTGTGCTTATTTCACCACGTTTTTTTATTCATCCGGAATATCCGCTTTTCAAAATGGTCGGCTGCACGCTCTACACATACGTAAAAAAATGCTATCGTTTCTGAATGTGAAAAAGTGCACAACTGGCTCAAAATATATTCAACCAATAAAATATAAAATAATATCAATGTTTGTATAATAAAAGCAATCAACTAAAATGGCATTGAACGTGAGAACATTTTTGGGATGCAAAGAGTTGATGATTTTCAGTTTTAGTCGTAGTTTCTGTAGTTGACGATTTCATAAAATTTGGATTGATCCAAGTTTTAGTTGAATAGAATTGGAGTCAGAGAGACAGCGTGTTTTACGTAGTCTCGACAGACCGAAAAATAATTGCCCCAATATTGATTCCTCTTAAATAGCTGGATGAGACAATTAATGAACCATTCAATCAGTCTCTGCATATATCGAAAAAGAATTGTGCGACGCACAGATATTACACAGAAATTGATTTAATGTTTGAGGTTCGCCACATTTTCCAAGTTTAATTTTTCTCCTTTCATTCTTCAGTGGGCTTTCATTGAATCAAATTTATTTACGTAATAAAAGAAGATTTACAATCAATTTCTTTTATTGTCTTGCAGATAAGAGAGGGAATAATAGCGAAAAAACCATTGGACTAGATGCTGGTGCTGCTGGTATTACAGTAAACAAATCAGAGATTACCAATCGAAGAAACGCAGAAAAAGAGATAGATAGAGAGAGAGACGTATAACACAAAAAAGGCGACAACGATCTACAGTTTAATTCAAGAGAGAGAAAAAAACGGCCGATACAGCGAAAAACCACACATAGCAAATAGTCATAGAGTGCAAAGCGAAACAAACCATTTACAACATGAACATTTTTCAAATAAGTAAATTTCATTTTATTGCGACAATTGCCACGGTTGCGACCACATCACCGTTATATTGATGTGTGTTTCGACGACAAACTACGACGACGACGGCGACGAGAACGCGCAGTGAACAAACGAACGAATGAACGACACATATTGATAATGAAAAACAAACAGCTGAGTGAATTGTTTTGAAACACCTTTTAGTTTCGTTTTTTTTTTTTTCGTTTGTTTGTTTTTAAACACGTCAAATATTTGTTGACGGGGGAATTTATAAATTATATCGAAATCAGTTGATGTACTGGTGTTACACATCGAGGCTTAAAGGGCATCGAAAACATCGACGCACTGAATCATTCGAGGAATATAAAATACACGCACGTACATATGTGTGCTCGGCCAAAATAGTGACAATCACATCAAATCAACTAGAGACTAACACACAAAAACCACAGCCAGCATTTCGTTGAAAATTTTTCGATTTTATTTTCATTTGTTCTTCGATTTCTCTATTCTTCTTTTTTTCAATTCCGATATTTGGAAATCATTGCTTGTGAGCTTTTGTAACGGCATGGGGCGTGAATACAGCCCCTAGCCATTATTTATCTATCTGTATGGAGCATTTAAAATTTGACGAAATAGGATCACAAGCAGCCAACCTTACGATTGCCTCACTGTCGCAGGTAACAAAAGAACTGTCGACACAGTCGTCGTCATCGTTTGGCACCAGTTCAACGGCGGTCCCATCAGCTTCGTCCACCTCATCCGATTCGGGCACATCGTTGCCACCATTGCAGGCAATTGTCGTAAGCATTATATTGTTGGTTGTAATATTTGTAACGGCCGTCGGTAATATTTTAGTATGTATTGCTGTGTGTATGGTGCGAAAGCTTCGAAGGCCCTGCAATTATCTTCTGGTATCGTTAGCTGTATCGGATCTATGCGTCGCAATATTGGTGAGTATCGACCGTCATTCGAATGATGAACGATTGTCGTAAAACACAACGAATAATTTTGATCGATTTTGGTTGAAATCACACTATCGGTGTGCACATTTTTGCTTTGTGCCATTCCGAAATTTAAAGCAAACATTTATAGCATTTAACTTGTGCCTTCCTTATTTACTTAAATATATATTTTTCGCTTGATGCTCGTAAAATCTTAATTGTGTGTTTCGCTGTTCGATGTCATTTTATCGAGTGACCGTTTAATTTTTCGTTTTCATTCAATTCAGGTGATGCCCCCGGCATTGTTGTTCGAAGTGCTGGGCGAATGGAATTTTGGAACGGTGTTTTGCGATTTATGGGTGTCATTCGACCAGCTGGCTTGTACAGCATCCATACTGAATTTGTGCGCGATATCGTTGGATCGCTACTGGGCCATCACAAAACCATTGGAATATGGTGTTAAACGAACGCCAAGGCGTATGATGCTGTGTGTGGCATTGGTATGGTTGGGTGCCGCATGCATTTCACTACCACCACTCTTGATTCTCGGCAACAAACATTATACCGAACAAGGTGAACCAATTTGTTTGGTGTGCCAAAATTTTGGCTATCAAATTTATGCAACGTTTGGATCATTTTATATTCCGTTAGCGGTCATGCTATTTGTTTACTATCAAATATTTCGAGCAGCACGTCGAATCGTTTTAGATGAAAAACGCGCACAGACCCGTCTCGAAAACACAATGAACGGCGGCACCAAAGAGAAACCAATCGAAACAAGTAGCGGCACAATTATAGGTTCACCACATCAAAAGAAATTACGGTTTCAATTAGCTAAAGAGCGTAAAGCATCAACTACATTAGGAATAATAATGTCCGCATTCACGATATGTTGGTTGCCATTTTTTTTGTTAGCTTTAGTTCGTGCATTTCTTTATGAGGGTCAAGGTCATAACGATGAACCGGTGCCGAGCTATCTACAGTCAATATTTTTATGGTTAGGTTATGCAAACTCTCTACTAAATCCAGTTATCTATGCGACCTTGAATCGTGACTTCCGTAAACCGTTCCAAGAAATTTTATATTTTCGATGCTCCAGTTTGAATTTAATGATGCGCGAAGATTTCTATCACAGTCAATACGGTGAACCCACATCACAACGTGTTGTTGTTGGCGGCGAAGGCCATGGCGCTCGAGAAAGTTTTCTTTGAAATTTAAAGTCGTAGAGGGTTTTCGATTAAGCTTCCACATATTCGATACAGCACGGGCACAATTGAAATGAAAAAGGTGTGCCTTCATATTACGGTACAAACACACATTTCAACTGTATCTGCCATTTGGTCAACATTGTTTGCTGTGACAGTGACAGTGACAGTGTTAGAGCCACCACCAACGAGACCACAATAAAAAAGAAAGAAATATAAAACGAAAACAAACGAAGACCCTCTTCAAAACTCAAGCAATCGATTCGAAATCAAATATTTTATCTAATAAAACTGAAGCCATCTATATTTCGATATAAACATTAAACACACTCAAAACTTTTGCAATCGCATACACTTCGATTATTATTTTGTGTATAGTAATAAGGACGTGTTCTATGTTTATAAGGTGATAAATATTTAGTTCAATTTTATTGGGGCTAGAAGAGAGGTGACGAACGCTCTGTGCTGGTGAGAGACATCATTTATGACATAAAAGTGCATTAGAATGACAACTGAACAGTACAGCCATCCTCTCTAGCAGCCGCATTGTAATTTACAAAGATTTAGACATGATTGAGGGACAAAAATTATGAAAACATTTGACACATATTATGCGCAAATTTATTATGATACAGATTCGTATGGCTTCATTTATTGCGACATTGATTGATAATAATATGAAATGAAAACAATTTATATTGGCCTAGAAAATATTTCTATATATATGTGTGCATTTAAGCATACTATGTATTTCGAGCAGATCATTTCACACGCACATTCTTGCACAGATAGACAACTGAAATCTGATCATTTCGATTTAGTAAGTGTTGAACAATTGCATTTCAAAACACGAACGGCAATTCATATGAAAATAATCACCAAAGATTCATGAAATATACGTACTATGTATTAAAGAGAAACAACAACAAAACAAGGTGAAGTATTCTATACAAAATAGATGTTTTTAGGTAGTTCAGTGAAAAATGTTGAAAGTAAATGTGATTTGTTATAACGAGTAAGATCGAAACTAAACGGGAAAAAAATCTATAAGTATAAAAGAGATACATTTATTTATCGATAAAGTTGTCCATTAGCTAAAATAATCATTTTTATTTACAATCCAGGAAAATACGCGATTTGCAATCCGTTTCAAAGAAATTCACAATTTGCAAGCGGTAGCATTTTCTTCAATCAAAATTTGTCGAACTCAAAATTTAAATCTTTTTGCTTGCTCTTGAGACTCGAAGAAATTATCTTAGATTGACGATGATCGCTTTGATGCATACAATTCCTTTCCCACTTTCGTCCAGACAGACATTATTCATTAAATGCAGATTTTTTTACCATGGAAAAATTGATGAAATGACTAAAATAAATATTATCTATAAAATCAAATCCAAAATGATTAATTTTGAGCTATTGATTTTTAATAAGCTCTTTGAAAAATCCAACCGGATGAAAAATAAACCAATATTTATTTTGAAACTTCCGATTCATTTAAATCAATGGTCTATTATTTTTCGTTCATAAATTATGTTGAATTAATTTAGTGAATTACATTCGAACGGGACAACTAACAAAATCAAATTGAATGTGAAACCGTAATCAATGCTTACTCAATTCGTCATTCATTAAAATTGGCATTTCATTCATTTTAATTCAATTTTATTTAACTAAACCCCACCAATATTTGATTGGCTAATTGTTGCGTTTGAAACATTTTTGGAAATTTACAGACTCAACAAGTATGACAAGTTAATGTTCAAGCAATTTCTTAAAAAAAAAAAAATGGGCGCATAGTGTTAAAGGAACGGCACAGTACACATGTAGAAAAGTTGTAACCGTATCGCTTTCGAAATAAATGATCAGAATTCAATGAAAAGTGTGTAGTATCTGTCTGATAGTAAAAAAGTAGAAAATGGTCATAATTTTACTATTATTTTTACTATAATTATTATATTATTATTTTTATTATTAATATAATCTCTCTGTTAGAAAACGATTTTGTTTTTTTTTTTTTAATTAAACCGGAAAACGAATATACATGCACACTGTATACATCTCTAAATTGAGGCTAAATATAATTTCTGTATATACATTAAGTAAATGATGAAGTGTCGAATATGTCATCTGTAAAAACAATTGTGGCTCAAATAGATGAAAAATCCATTTCAAAGACAGATTTTCTTTTTGTTTGCATTCATTTGAATTCTTACAAATAGATTTATTTTTTAAAGTTCGCCCGCCAAATTCACGTCAATTCATTATAAAACATAATTCTTATAATCGATCCAACAGTGAGATATCGTTTATTTCGTTTCAACAGATGATATTTTCGACATTGATAAATCAAATAAGCACAAATCATAAATGAAGGTACGTGTGTGTACATAAATTCTGATGGAATAATGATGCTTCAAATTTAAAAATGCAACAACAACCAAAAAAAAAAAACAAAAAAAGATACATAAACATGAAAAAATGCTCAAGAATGCTACGGTAGTTTTCGTGAGTATTGAGAAAGTATGCGAATTGCATTCCAAAACATAAACGGCTAAAAAACCAAATATCATTGGTAAACCATACGTATAGATAAGTTTGAAAAGTGTTTTCCCCAATATGAAAGTCGGTATCGAATTTCTCGGGCTACGAAAATTGGCTACTCAACTATTTGCCTACATGTAACTATATTGATATACATATATACACCTATATAATTTATGAAATGAGAAACAATTCCAGAAAATTATAGTAAACTTATCAGTGTATATACATTATACATAAATTGAAAATGATCATCGCACATGTTGTGTCATATAGAAAACTTCTATTTGAATGAGACTTTAATTTTCAATCACACTCACTTATACGTTTATGAGCATGCATTTGATAATGAAATTAGAGAAAAGCATGTTACATAACTCAAACACTCGAAATATTGTCTAGCAAAATATAAATGATCGTTTTTAAAACAAAAATATTTATGAGAAAATGATGAAAACATACATTTACAGGGATGCCACTTAAAGTGTGAAATCAAAATGTTGATATGTGTTTGATTTATGTGTGAGGCGTGCATTAATAATATAGAGAATGTGACCGACAAACAAAATAGAAAACACAGAGACAAGTTATATTTCACTTGAATTGTTATACAAATGGTTTAAAAATAAAAGTTTTCTTTATTATTGTATCATTGATTAAACTAACGAAATGAATCTTTAGAACATTTGTTTGTATTGAAAGTGTTTTTGTAAAGTTCCAATTTAAAATATGTTTCCGTTGTAGCCTTTTCACTACCAAAATCTATATTTTAACCATATCGTTCAACGATATGGATATTATTGTAAAAGTTTTAAGAGGAATGAAATTAAAATCACATCCGATTATTGCAGAACCGTCAAATTATTATTATGTATGTTGAGAAGAATATAAAAACAGTCATATGCGTTATGAATATAAGCAAATGATAAACATTTATTTAACAAAAAAAAAATTTAAAAAAAGTAAAATAAATTTGCTTAAATATATCCTTTAAATAAAATAGAGATATGTATTGTAAGTTTTCATTGAACAGTGAAAAGAATCACTACAATTGAACGATGGATTTCTGAAGCAAAGAGCACACACTTATACAAATCAAAAACAAACAAAAATACAAATGGCGAATGAGCGCATACAAAGTATCATAAAATAAGTTATTGGATCCATTACGTATGTTAATAAAAATACAAAAATAAATACACAAGCCATCTAAAGCTAACGAATTGTCATCAAACGATTGTTTATATAGTATATCAATCAAACAAAACCCACAAAAATGCAATGATAGTCATATAATTATTTGGTATAAATTGTTTGGCACGATTTCATACAGATTTTATTTTCACATTCATTAATTATTCCAATCCAAGAGTTCCTTCCAAGATCACGTGACTCCATCAGTTGAAATTCAACTAAACTTTCTAACAATGTTGAATGTCATTAAAGTGTACTGCCCAGAATTAACTGACCTCGTTTCTAGTTTTCTGTCAACACTAATCTCTCCATCATCGATTTGAATATTTTATCAAAAAGAAAAATCAGCAAATTTTCTGCAGACGAACCCGACCAGAAATGTTACCGTTCAACTTTTCGACAAAAGTTAAAAACTCTTATATCAACCAGATTTTTAGCAATTAAAAGTTTTCTTAACATTTTTATATTGAAGTAGTTGTGAGAAAATGGGTAAATTTTCATCCAATCCACAATTTTCATTTCCGAATCGACATTTTTCTTTTTGGTTCAAAATTTGTGTTAGCAAACAGATGTGTGATGCCGATTATTGTACCTCTAACATACCTCGTTTGTAATTCATGCACCCATATACTCTCACATCTACGATGAACACTCGGAACTTGATCGGGATCCATGAGACAAATTTCATGCAAGAAAATTTTATTTTCAATTCGCAATGAAGTTTCCGTTCCTTTTCATTTGTAAATAGAATTCTTTCATGTTGTCAAATACAATTTCTATGCGGTATCATATTACGCATAATTGGTTCATACATTAAAATTGAGATACAAAGAAATATGTTCTTCCACTCTGAAAATGGAAAATGAATCGCATTCAAAAGTCTTAATGAATCAAACAAAGTCAAGTCAGGTAATAGAATGCGCATAATCCAATGCAATAAAACCATTCAAGTTATCATCATTTTATTTGCGTTTTCCTTGTTTTAATAAAGCATGTCATATATGTGCATACTGTTTATAGATAAGAACACACACACACAAGAAAAAATAGCAACACTGAACGAAATACCAATCCAAATGGAAATGTATCTTACTTTATTTTAACCGTGAAATTGATTCTAGCTTGTTATATTTCTCGTTTTCTTTTCGATTGTGAGAAATGTAATTTCAATTTGTTGCGAAAAGCCAATGAAAATGATTCAATATTGAATGGATGAGGAAAAAAGGGGCAAGAGATCGAAACGAAGAAAATTGAACAACTATTCTCGAGAAAACAATGAATATCATAAGCAAAAGATAGTATGTATGCATATCGTTGTTCGAGCAAAGAACTTAAATGAACGATAACAAACGATACCGTATAGCATATATTTATGACGGAGTAATAATCCCATATCTACGTTATTTGCAACCGATTTTGATTTTATTTGAAAGCATTTTTGCACAACTATAGATATTTTTACTTGTTCGTCATTGTATTTTGTAACATTCAGTGTTAGCGTTTGCACTGTAACGTGCAAAATATTTTCTCTATCGTTCTCGGTTCGTCTCCTGTTCCATTGAACTTCAATTCTTTATTCGATACGGTTGCCATTGCAAATACCTTCCATTGCAATATCCGTACATATATGTATTTAAATATATCACATATATAGTATATTGAACGTGCTTGATATTGTGGTAGTCATCATCATCATCTTCGTCGTCGTCGTCGTCGACGACATCGTCTTCTCAGTCTGTAAGTAATTTGATGTATGCAGAATAGCGCACCAATGAATAATAAAGATATAAAGTATAAAATAAAATCAAATCGAATAACCGCCATGCATCCATGCTAAACCAGAACCAGAACCAAACCGAACCATATCGCATCAAACAAAGCAACAAGAAAATATAAAAGAAAAAAAAATTGTATCAAAAGACGAGAGAGAGAGAGAGAACGAGAGCCAAAGAGAAAATAGCATCTAGCATCATGCAACACTTGCGAATATATTTCATGGTAATTGCAAAATAAAAGAGTAAAAACGTAACGTTGTAAAACTCCTAACAAATTGGTTGAGCATAATTTCGATGGAATTTTTTTAGCATGCTGTGCCAGTGAATGATCCGCCGCATGTAAAAATGAATCGCGTTATGAATGTAAACAAGGCTCTCTCTGTGTGTCTCTCACTAGACACAGTGCGCGCGCGAAATAAAAGAAAAAGCACCGAGCAACGGTTCGAAATGGAAGAATTGCTATGCAATAACTGCAACAGTTTCGATGACGTCCAATTGAGAATAAAGGAGACAGCGATAGAGATAATAAATTTCCGTCCAACACTCGACCATCAAAATCAAACAACGTCTATCAGTTGGTAATCACGAACGCAACACTAAATGTACTGCAAACTGTTATTACACATTTATGTGACAAGAAAAAGAATAAAGCTACTGAACGACAGTGAAACGAAAGGAATACAAGCAGAGAGAGTGAAAGAGAGAGAAAGACCGAGAGGCGAATAACGTGAATTTATGTGCGTTCTTTGCTCGTGCCGCAATATTTTCTTTCGTTGATGCAAGATGTGCAACGGATAGTAAATATAAGCGACAGTAATAATTCAGTTCGAGTTTCAGTAGCAGTAAGTGGAGTGGCAGTGTGTTACAATGTATATGTTTCATTTTTATGCCATACATGTATGCCTGTGTGTTCGGTGTGTGTGTATCTTTTTGTTGCCTTTGTGTGTGCCCATTTTGCAAGGTTATAAAATGCAGCATATCGCTTTTCATCATTTTCTTCTTATATCGCTTATCCACCCTCTTTTTCTCTCCTGCTGCCCGCCCATAACTCAACTTCGGCTCATTCTGCTCTATTTTGCAACTTATTTGTCTCCATTTTTCGTTGGTCGCACATGCCACAACGCTCAATTTGTTGCACTGACGCTTCAAACGCAAAGTTTATGTAAAATATTTTCCATTTTTAAAAAGCTATTATGTGAACGTAATTTTATATTTATGACATTTTTCTGCTCTTATCTTTCTTCTTTTCTTGTGTTTTTGTTTATTCTTGTGTTCGTTTGTTCTGCACCAGCAATCATTCATAATGCAGCCAACCGTCATATTCAATTGTACGTAGTACGTACATAAAACAGATTAAGTTGCTCAAACAGGATATTTTAATCGTTTGTATTGAGATATTTTAACGCTTTTACCGCCCATC